AAAAAAAATTTTTTTAAATAAATTGGAAAAAAATCATTACCTTCTGATTCAAGGAATATGTAAAAGCAGCAACCTAGAACAAGATGTATGTAGTTGAGAGAAATATTCATTAATTCTTAAAACTTAGGGCACGAATGCGTAGCACAGCCTCTGTTAGATGTTGATTGCAGCCCGCAGCTTTGAACATCAAAGCACTTTCAGTGGCTGTTTCTTTTTCACTTCTTTGAGCAGGAGTCGGGGAAGCAAAGCACACATGACCTTGAAAGCAGGCACCACGGATGTTTGGGATTTCTGAGTCATCAGCTCACTCACCGTCGACATCAACAAGCCGATTCTGCTAGGGATGCAGGACTCATTTCGTTTTAGACATATTTTCAATTTGGTGGGTGAGCTAGCGATTACACCAGCCCAGATCATCTTGTTTCACAGAGTATTTTCCCCCCTGCAAATTCTATATACTGTTACTAGCGTGAAAGTCAGCTTTGCTATAATTAAGCCTTACTGACCAGATCTAGAAAGGGTTCTTCTCCAGCACGCCTGCCATGCCCTCAACCAAAACACTCATTATATCATTATATAACGAGTTATGAAAGGTTTTACTAGTCTTTTATATGTGGCACTATCTTTATGACTTAAATCTGCGGTGTGGGTGGCGGAGGCAGAATTTATTAGGCAGTCTAACAAAGCACTGAAGGGGGGAAGTCAATCTGGCCCAGGGAAACCCAGGTAGATTCCAGAAAGATGAGTGCCAGAGGGCAAAGTTCTGGACAGAGATGTGATGAAGGAGGCAGGTGTTCTCAAATTCTTCTCCTTGCTGAGATAAGTACCGCAGGGGCTCACACGTGTGTGGTGTGTGTCTTAATAATATCTTCATAACCATCTCCTGTCTTGTAGATAATGTGTTGCAAGATGTTAGATGGTTTTACAGATGCCCTGTGGGGAACTAAGACTTTGTTAGAAAACCAGGGGTAATTTACGGCTTGGCAAGTGGCTTGGGAAGTGGTTAAGTGGGCGAATTCAGCACTGTCAGAACGGGAAAACTCTGCAGCACCAGGGAATAAAGCCCTTGACTGGGAATCTGGGAATTCTTTTTTTTTTTTCCTCTTCCCTTTCCTTTGGGTGGTGGTTGTGGTGGGGGAGGTGGGAGGAGGGTTCCAAGGCTCTGCACGGTATTGCTGGCACACTCTCCTGGGTGCTTTGGGGTGAGGGCTGGCTTGCGTGCAGCTCTGGTGTTCCAGCACATTCTGACTGTTGAACTGGCCAGGGTTCACACGCCTCACCGTGCTGCAGGCCGTTGTTACTGTGTTCCGTAGGGTTGCATATTTTTAACTCCTGGGCTTACGCACACTTACCCATGGAGCCGAGGTGGTACACTGTGATCACACCTGGTACAGGGGGGGTTCTGTCCCAAACAACACTTGCCAGCACCGGGCTTGGAGGATGGGAGTGGTACCAGGGAGCTAGCTTAGTTCTCGCACCATCAAGAAGTACTCTCACTGAGCCATCCCTGACACTTCTGAGGGCTATTCTGAAAAATTAAAAAAAAAAAAAAAGGATAGGGGCTGGAGCAATAGCACAGCGGGTAGGGTGTTTGCCTTGCAGGCGGCCAACCCAGGTTCGATTCCCAGCATCCCATATGGTCCCCTGAGCACCGCCAGGAGTAACTCCTGAGTGCAGAGCCAGGAGTAACCCCTGTGCATTGCTGGGTGTGACCCAAAGAGCAAAAAAAAAAAAAAAAAAAAAAAAAAAAAAAGAAATAAAAATAAAAATAAAAAAATAAGGTGGGGGGCAGTTTGGGCAATCCTGGGGCTCTTCGTGGAGATCATATACTCCAACCCTTCAAGCCATCTGCCTGGCCGAGGGCTGTTCTTTTGGAGATGCAGAGTTTCAGGAGCTCCCTAGGTGGGCATTCTTTTTTAATTCTTAAAAATTTTTTTTCACTTTTTATGGGAGGGGATCACACCCAGCAATTTCAGGGGTTACTCCTCACTCCTGGTACTGATTGGGGAACCATATGGGCTTCGGGGAATTGAACCTGAGTCGGCCGCATACAAAGCAAACGCCCTACTTGCTATACTATTGCTCTGACCCCATAAGCGGGCATTCTTTTTTTGTGTGTGTGTGAACTGGAAGCCATTTCTCTACTTTTTAAAAAAAAATTTTATTAGTGAAACACCATGAAGTACAGTTGTAGACTTACAAGTTTTCGTGCTTGGGTTTCAGTTTTACAATGATCGAGCACCCATTCCTCCACCAGTGCCCATCCTCCACCACCACCAGTCCCAGTATCCCTCCCATTCCCCCCCCCATCCCACTCTGCCTCTGTGTTCCCTTTTGTTCTCTCTCTCCTTTTGAGTGTTGTGGTCTGCAAAAGAGGCTTTGAGTGGCAATCATGTTCGGTCTATAGTCTACTTTCAGCATGCATCTCCCCTCCTGGGAGGATCCTCCAAACGCCCTTTATTTGGTGCTCCCTTCTCTATCTGAGCTGCCTTTTCTCCTAGCATGCCAAGCGGGCATTCTTCACCCTCCATCGGTCTCAATTCCTGGCACAGACAACTCCCACCCACCCGCACCAAGACATGAGTACAGGAATGAACAGCGCAGTATTAGCAGAAGCAACGCCATCTCCATCTGGTCTCCTGCCACATTTCTACCACTTCCTGAAGAACTGAGAAAACCAAAGGTGTTGGGTGAAGAAGTGCTCAAGGCCAACTACTAGCCCAGCATTTCCCTATTGAGGAAAATGTATCTTCGTTATGCTTTATTACACGTGAAATCGTATTAAGAACAGGACCGCAAGGCACATTTTATTCCATTTGTTTGGTCTTTGGGGCTATACTAGGTGGTGTAGAGGCTACCTGGGAGAGGTGTTGCTCCCCAGGGAGCTGGAGGGGTGTGGTGGGGATGAGCCCTGACCTTTGTATGAGAGCGAGCTACTAGCTGGCTCCCTGCCCCAGGAGTCACTGCTTCTCCCTTTTTAAATAGAGGTTTCTCCAGCTCCACTGGGTGGATATCAGGGTGCATTATCTTCAGCAATGCTGTTTAGCTTCCTAAGAATGTGCCAGCCAATCTCTCAGAGCCGCTGGGCCAGCGAAGAGAGTTCCTGTTGCTCCAAATCTTCCGTGGGATGCGAGTTTGTTAGCATTTTGGATTTTAGCCATCCGAATAGGTAGGCACTCGCATTTCACTATTGTTCTAAGATGCAAATCACTTGAGTGCTTGACAAGGAACATATGCTCACGGGCTTCTTTGCTGTTTATCTTCTTGAAGAGGTGCCAGTCTGATCCCTTCCCCGTTTCTAAATTGCTTTGCTTGCTTTCCTACGGTTGAGTTTAAAGAATTATTTGTTCTCTTTGGACACAGCCTTAGTTTTAAAATCAGATATGTTTGGCAAATATTTTCTCTCCCCCTCAGTAGGCTTGCCTTACATCCTGTTAACTCTGTGTGTGTGTGTGTGTGTGTGTGTGTGTGTATTTGTTTTTGGGACACCCCCAGCAGTGTTCAGGCATCGTTCCTAGCAGTGCTCTGGACCAGAGAATAGAACCTGGGCCTCCCTCATGCACAGCATGGGTGTGGGGCTTGGGCAGAATTTTAATTTCAGTGAAGCCCAAGTCATCATTTCACTTTCCTAGACCGTGTTTTGGGTCATATGTGTGTGTGTGTGTGTGTGTACATATATATGTACACATACACACTTTATATATACATATATATATATATATAAAACGGCCAAATCTCAGGTGACCTAGATTTTTCTCCCCTACATTCTCTTTAAGAGTTTTATGGTTTTGGGGCCAGAGCGATAGTACAGCGGGTAGGGCGGTTGCCTTGCACGCAGCAGACCCGGGTTCGATCCCAGCATCCCATATGGTCCCCTGAGCACCACCAGGAGTAATTCCTGAGTGCAGAGCCAGGAGGAACCCGTGAGCATTGCTGGAAGTGATCCAAAGAGCATAAAATAAAAAGTTTTATGGTTTTGGGGCCAGAGCTATATAGTACAGCAGGTAGGGCGTTCGCCTTGCAGGAGGCTGACCCAGGTTCAATCCCCGGCATCCTCTATGGTCCCCCAGCCCCGCCAGGAGTGATTCCTGAGTGCAAAGCCAGGAGGAACCCCTGAGCATCGTTGGGTGTGACCCCCCCCAAAAAAAAGAGTTTTATGGTTTTCTCTTTGACACTGAATTCTTGCATCCGCGCTGACAGTCTTCCTGGGCAAGGTCCGTGAAAGCGGAGGTTGCGCGCATTACTCGTGCATGACTTGGCTCCGAGTGCTCCCTGGGCCGGAGCACTAAGTGCCGGGAGACCTGGAGCCTCGGGTATGACACTCACTGGGGTGGGGGCCGTGCAGAGGCGCAACCCAGCGGCGGCCCCTCGGACCCCAAACCCGTCCGTCCCGATTCTGCATCTCCTTAAAAAGAAAAAAAAAATCCGATTCTGCATCTCCTTTAAAAAACAAAAAAACTGGAGTTCGTGCCCAATTCAATCAGCCGAGTCAGTGGCTGAATATGAATCAGCAGTACCGCGACATGAATTAAAAAAAAGTCAACATAAAAGCAAACATCAGGTTTCCCATGAAGACGGTGAAGATACAAAAAAAATAAATAAAAATCCCTGCGGGTGCCACCCGTGGCCCAGTGCTAACGAACGACGCCTGCAGGCGGGGCCGCGGCGGGCGAGGCCGGGCGCGCGCTCGGAGGAGCCGGGGGCGCGCGCGGCGCGGGGCCGGGGGCGAGCGCGCGCGCGCGCCCCATTGTGCCCCCGGCCCGCCGTGACGTCAGCGCCCCGCCCCGCGCGTGACGCGCGTCGCCGCTCCCGGCATGCTCCGCGGCGGCCGGCGCTGGGCCGCACAGCGAGTGTTGCAGGAGCCGCCGCCGCCCGGTGCCCGGAGCCCGCGCCCGCCGCCCCGCGCCCGCCGCCGCCGCCGCCGCCCCGCGCCCCCGCCGCCGCCGCCGCCGCCGCCGCCGCCCGCGCCGCCCGCGCCCCCCGCGCGCCCGCGCCCCCCGGCCCTCCCGCGAGGGCGCCCCGGCACGGACGCCGCCGGCAGCCTGTCGGCGCCCGCCGCGCTCGTGGTCGCCGTCGCCGTCGCGGTGGTGGTGGTGTCGGCCGTCGCCTGGGCCATGGCCAACTACATCCACGTCCCGCCCGGCGCCCCCGAGGTGCCCAAGCTGGACGTGACGGTGCCCGACCAGGAGGAGCAGCGCTGCCGCGAGGGCGCCCTCCGCCTCCTGCGGCACCTGCGGCCGCACTGGGACCCCCAGGAGGTGACCCTGCAGGTAACGCCCGCGGGGGCGCGCGCCGCTCGGGTGTCGGGGTGGGTGGGGGTCGGTGGGTGGGGAGGGGTCCCCGCCCGCGCACCTCGGAGGGTCGCTCCCCGCCCCCCACGCCCCCTCGGCCCTGCCCGGGGCGCCCCCCCGTGGCCGCGGAGGCCGCGCGCCCCGCCCCCCCACCCCGCCGCGCTGCCCACCCGACGGGGCAGCGGTCCCGGAGACCCCCGACCCGCCCCCACGCAGGTCCCCGGGGTCCCACCGGGCAGGGCTGCTGCTCCCCCCCCCACCCCCGAGCCCCCTGCAGGTCCCCGGGTTCCCACTCCCCGCCCCGGCCCCCCCCCCCGCAGGTCCTGGGACCCGCCGCGCTGCCCACCCGACGACGGGGCAGCTGCCCGGGAGCCCCGCGACCCCCCCTCCCGCCCCCACGCAGGTCCCGGGACCTGCTGCGCTGCACACCCCACGGGGCTGCTGCTACCCCAGAGCCCCCCCTGCAGGCCCCCGGGTCCACTCCCCCGCCCTTCCCCCCCTCCCCCGCTCTGCCCACCGGAGCCCCCCGAAACCCCCCGCCCCGCAGGTCCCGGGACCCGCCCCGCTGCCCACCAGCCCGGGTTGCTGTCTCCCGCGACCCCCCGCCCCGAGCCCCCCTCGCAGGTCTCTGCTGGACGGGGCTCCTGCCCCCGCGTCCCTCCCCCCACTCCCCTGCAGGTCCGGGGCCATCCGAGCTGCCCCCCGCGGCCCCCCACGGCCCCCCGCGGCCCCCGCCGGCTCGTCCGTCCGTGGGACGTGGACGTGGACGCTGCATTTCGCCCGCCCACGCCGCGGACTCCCCGCCCCCCATCCCCGGCGCCCCCTGCCCCTGGCCCGTCCGGAGCACCAGCGCCCCGAGCCCCCCAAGCCGGCCTCCACCCAAGGTCGCCCGCCCCCAGGCTTCTGTTTTTTTTTTTTGAGCCCCCAGCAGAAAATTGGGAAGAAAAAACAAAATCGATCCGTTGGGAATCCACTCGATTCCCAAATAAACAGTCTCTGATGAGTTAGGACGTTGTGTTCAAAAAAAAAATTTTAAGCTTTTTGAGTTTCAGGAACTGTCTGCAAAAAAAGAAAAAAAAACCAGTCCCCCCCAAAAACGCACACAAAAACAAACCCCAGCCAAAAAAACCCCAAGAGGAAAAGAAGCTGCCTTTCCCCGGCAAACACAAAGTCGGGGTGCTGGGATATTTGGGATTTTTGGTCTCAGCAGCAACGTGGAAACCTTCCCCTGAACTTGACACGCCAGACGTCCACCTTGTTGTTTTGTAGGCTCGGCTCTCCAGCAGTGTTTTTCACTGTATTCAGAGTCTTCACTCAAGTAACTGTGGATAAAAGATGAATAAAACATGAATCGGGCTTCAGGGCCCAGAACTGTTTCTGACACTCGAGTGTTAGTTTCAGTTCTTACTGTCTAGAAGAATTTTTAGACACGTTTAATGACCTTACGGGTTTTTTTTTTTTGGGGGGGGGAAATTGTTAGTAAATGAAATTATAAAGGAGTGCTTTTTGGTTGGTATATGTGTAATTAAAAGGTTTCCCTTAATTAAAGAAAATTAAATTAATTGAAACGTCCAGTTGAAACTCCGTACTCCTTTCGTGTATTATTAACTAATTTGTAGTCTATTAAGAGAAGGTCTTTATAACAAAGTCATTTGTATTCTGGCAACTATAAAGTAAGCATATTAATTTTAGCCAGTGCCGCTTCCTGGTAACCTCTGGGCCTGGCAAATGTCACTTTTTTAAGCAGGGATTTAATTCTTTTTTTTTTTTTATTTTTGGGTCACACCCGGCAATGCTCAGGGGTTACTCCTGGCTCTGCACTCAGGACTTACCCCTGGCGGTGCTTTGGGGGGGGGGGGGGGCTATGGGATGCTGGGAATCGAACCTGGGTGGGTGGCGTGCAAGGCAAACACCCTAACCCCTACCCGCTGTGCTATCACCCCAGCCCCCTTAAGCAGGGATTTTAAAGGTGGGGCTTGGGGGGAGGGAGGGATTTGCATTCACATGATTTTATTTGAAAGGAGCTGCCACTGGAGGGTACTTTATACCTGGTTTAGAGTTAAGACTAAAAAAAAAATTACTATTTAATTTCCTAATCTAGGTGCTTTTTTTTTTTAAATGATTAAAGCCAGTGTATAGCTTTTTAATAAGAAAGTAGGGAGGGGGTGAGTGTGGTAACCGGCAGCAGCTTTTGATGGTTCCAATTGAACGTTATCTTTTTCCTGTGTTGGCAGCTTAAAAACCTTTGGACCCGTAATCCAATCTTTTCTCATTTGTCAGTGAAGGTAAATACCAGGTATTTGTCCTGGGGAAGGTTGTTAGTCGCATCCACCCAAGTTCCAGCAAAGATTTGCATCCAGACAGCCGAGAGTGGAATCAATGGTTATTGATGGGTCTTCCTCTCCCAGTATATTGTCCTGTGACGCACTCCGCTCTTCCACGCTGCCTCAGGATTTCATTAGGGAGTCTCAGTGGGAGTATTTTCTTGCGCGATTTGCTTTTATTTCCTTTGATGTGGAAAAATGAAAACTCACGCGGCTCCTTTCCGAAGGGGGAAGTTTCACTTGCTCAGCAAACTAAAACTTTGGGAGTCTCCGGTATGGTCCTCTTCCGCAAAACCTCTTTTTCCTCAGATGTTTGATGTGATTTCAAATGCAGCAGGTTTGTGGGGGATCTTTTCTCTTGCCAGGGGCCATTTGGGTGGTATTGGTCATCTGCGGCCTGACACCCGCTCGAGCAAGTCGTTGAATGACGGGAGGACAGTGCTGCAGTACATTGGGGGGCATGGCAGCTGACAAGAAATGCCAGCTTGTGGGCCTGGAGCCATCGAAAGGCGTGAGGGCTGTTGCCTTGATAGCGGCCAACGGGGGTTTGACCCCTGGCGGCCAGTCTGGTCCCCCGGCCTGAGCACAGAGTCAGGCGTGCGCCCTGAGCATCACTGGGTGAGCCCCCAAACAAACAAAAAAAATCCCCAAACAGAAGCCTGAGCTTGTCAGGCCCTTGCCGCCAGGCTTGGCTGCCGGATGGCCCCCCAGCCCTCCTTTGGAATGACCTTTTCATCTAGTCATAATTTTATCTGACAGTTATTCCTGCCCGGATATGCAGAAAATCCAGATGCCAGCAAAAAAAAAAAAAAAAAAAAACCAACAAAAAAAAACCACACAGGCACAAAAAAGATTTCGTTGCTGTTACAATGTTACGGAAACTTGTCTTTGCTCCGGATCAGGGACACATGGAATGATAAATTTTCTAGTAAGTCCAGTTTTTATAAATCCAACGTGCTTTGTGTTTGAGGCTAGACCCATTGCTGTCTGGGTGCTCCTTGCAGGGTGCGTGGGGCCTAAGGCCATGCTGGGTGGAGCCCTCGCAGGCTGGTGGAGCTCCCGATCTGCCTGGGTTGTTTCCTGTGTGTCTAGGATGAAAGCGTGGAGTGGGGCGGTGTGGGTGCGCTGGGGAGCGCCATCTCCCGGAATGGAGTCTGTCTGTGGCAGGACAGCCCACCTGTTAACTCGGAGACAGTCCCTCCCTCTCCCTTCAGCCTGAGACCTGGATAGGCTGTTAGTGCCGAATTGTTGGAGTGACTTAAATTGAATTTGCAGATTATAAATGGCGGATCTGGATTAGGGGTTAAGGTTCCGAGTAAGATTATTATGATTAAAGCAGGGAAGCCACTGGTATGTACAAGGAACTTTTTGCTTGTTTTTTTTTGAGCGCCCCCCGCCCCCAAACCATATGTAGGGCCCCCAGGGGCCCACTAGTGGCCCTACGTGGTCAGCTCCCGGACAGCTCGGTGCTGGGCCCAGCTGGCTTCTGCAGCAGTGCTGTGGGGTTGGCAGGGGGCAGGCGGTGCCAGGGAACCAGCTTGGGACCTTGTGTTTGGGACACAGGGCTCTCACCCTACTCCATAATATTAATTTCTCAGAAATAAAAGCTTCTTGTTCCCTCTGCCTCACAGTTCTCATGACACTTATTTCTAAAAAAAATTTTCTTTTTTCTTTTTGGGTCACACCCGACTATGCTCAGGGCATACTCCTGGCTCTGTACTCAGGAACTACTCCTGGCGGTGCTCGGGGAACCTTACCGGATGCCAGGGATTGAACCTGGGTCGGCTGCGTGCACGGCAAACACCCTCCCGGATGTGCTGTTGGCTCCAGCCCCTCTTAGGACGCTTGTCTGTCCCAACGCTTCCTTCTCTCCCTCCACCAAAAAGACTTAAAATTGGTTTTCCTTCTAAAATAGTTGAAGAACCATGGTTTAGAACATTCTAGCATGTGCCATCTGGGTCTTCCCCGTGTTTATTGTGAGTTTGGGGTGGGGCTAGTTTTCAGCCACACTGGTGCTGCTCAGGGGCCAGTCCTCCGTCCTCTGCCTAGGAGGGACTCCTGGTGGTGCTTGGGGGAAACATCCCAGTGCCGGGGTTTTCAATTGGGGTCACCAACATGCAGAGGAGGCACTTGACCCCGGTTCTGTCTCTTTGGCTCCATTGTGAGTTTTTCTGTATCTCGGAGTCTGTGTGGATGGTAGCAAAAGATTTGAGAGGAAGCAGAGGAAGATGACAGTCACAGTATGATGCTTTCGAAGGAACACAGGTGTTCTCATCACAGGCCGTCTCTGAGATCGCTGGCTGGACTGTAAGCCGGAGTCCTTAGCTGTGGCATCCAGAGGATTGTTGTGGGAACGAAAGAAGTCCTCCCGACAGCTCTTGTTGTTAGTACAGATTCGGCATCGGTTTCCCCAGTGAAAAAGCAATCAGTTCATTTTCTGTCCCCTTTGGAATTCTCAGTTGACATTATCTTCACGCTGAGTCTTACAGGTTACAAAGCTGATCTCGTATCTGCCCCTCCCCCCTTCCTCCTTTTGGGGGGCGGGTTTGGGCTCTGCTTGGCTCTGCACTCGGCATCCCCCGTCTCTGTCGGAATCTGGACTCTCCCGGATACCAGAGGGAAGGGTCATGGTTTTGATTCCTCCTGATGTTTTTGTGTCCATGGATGAGTTCCCCGTGTGTTCTCTTTCCAGTGTCCTGTTGTTAATCTGGGAGCAGGGACAGAGTGTGTATTGACCAGGGCTGGCCCGGAGAGATGTGGAATGTTCGACGGGCTCCCGTGTCATTAAATTGAGGTGTGACCCTCGAGTCGGGAACTGAGTGTGCCAGTTCATTTTTCGATGTTCATAGCTGTGTGTTTTGGACTGAGCACACCACTCCTTCCCCCTTTGAAGCTTCAGAGGGCCCCAGGTTCGGAAGAGGGTAGTTCTTGGGATCTCGATCATGGCCGTGTGTTGCCTTTGGCAAGTTTTAAAATCTTTACCTCGGGCTTGCTTTCTGCTGCAGAAAACAGTGCAAAATTCTGAAATTACGAAGAGCACAGGTCGTTCCTGTATCCCTTGCTCTCGTCTCCACCCCCGCCCTGTTACCTGCTCACTTGTAAGTTGGAATATTCATCCACAAGAATCAGAAGCGCTTCAGCTCAGCAGTGCCGACGTGCATTTATTTTTTTTTTCCTACTAGGCACAGTGCTAATTTTCATCAGTGTTCTGGGAGGGTCAACCTGGGCTGAGCTTGGCAGGAAAGATGTGATTAGACTGGAATGGGGAAGCATTCGTTCTTGGCAGAGAAACTTCTCGGACAAAGCTGGGCCAAGGATTTGGGCCGAAAGGAAGTGGGAGTGGTCTTTGGCAAGGGGGCGGGGGAGATAAGGCTGTGTGCCTCCTAGGAGCTGGCATTTTCCCTCCCAGGCCATCCAAGAGGTCCTTGGGTGTTCTTTCAAGCAGACAGTCGGCCAGTCGAAGGAAACCTCTGAATTGGGGTGCAAGTGAAAACTTGGGCCCGTGGGTTTTTTTGGGGGGGGGCTGTGGGGGTCACACCATGCTTTGCTGTGTGGGCGCGATATTCTTGGTCGCTTGCTGGTCTCTCCGAGGGGGGCAGAGGAGTCAAACTCAGGTCAGCCGTGCGCAAGGCAGACGCCCTACCTGCTGTGCTCTCACTCCACCCCCCATCCCGTGGTTTTGAAACTGGTGCTCAGTGCACACGGCCAAGATGCTAAATCAGTAGAGTGGCCCAGGCCACGGCCGTTGAGAAGATGAGTGACGGAACACGTGATGGGGTGGATGGTTGAGCGATGATCAGGGCTCGCTAAGGCTGGGTTCAGTCTTCTGTAAATGTAGGTGCTGAAGTGGAGGACAGTCCTGCTTCTCCTGGTGGGCTCTGTTACAGTCACCTGGGAAGGACATGACTAGGAGAGACTGTTCTGGCTGGTCCAGGTGAGCGGTCCGGGGCCGCCTGAGGGTGGGAATGGACAGAGGGGACCTGATGACCCGGGCAGGACTGGCTTTTGGCCCCTGGGGGCTGAGGCAGCCTCAGGGCTTTTAGTTCTGTGTTTTGGGCAAGTGGCTAAGGAAGGGGAGTGGTAGGAGCCCTGGGCTTCAGGCGCCAGAGCATCTGATTTCTTGCGACTGTTTTATAAGGAGTTATCTTTACTGTAATGGATGGGCTATAAATAGATACACTCTTTTTACTCTGATAAAAGTCATGAGGTGCAAGAAGCCCAGAAAAGTACATGGGACATAGATGATTGTAGATCAGATACTGGTGCCTCCCCAGCCCGGGAAAGAACATTTTGCCAGCACGCAAAATGTATCACCTTTGCTCTCCTTGGCGCAAACCCCTTAACTGACAGTTAAAAGAGCCAAAAGAGAACATTTTGAATTAGTCTCTCTCTCTCGCTCTCTTTTTTTTTTTTTTTTTGGCTTCTTGGGTCACACCTGGCGATGCACAGGGGCTACTCCTGACTCGGCACTCAGAAATTACTCCTGGCGGTGCTCGGGAGACCCTAGGGCATGCTGGGAATCAAACCCGGGTTGGCCATGTGCAAGGCAAACGCCCTACCCGCTGTGTGATCACTTCACCCTCCCCCTTTTTTTCCTTAACAAGGTGATATTACTCTTAGAAAATAATCAGCTAAGTTTGATTTGTTTAAAAGTGGGAGTAGTAGACCCCCCTGCAGCGTCGAAGCCTGTGGAAAGGACCTCCCCGAGATCAGGATCAGCTTCATCCCCCACCGAGAGGCAGAATGTTGGGCATCTGCTGGAGTCCAGTGTACTGCGTCCTCTGTTAGGTATCTGGTGTATGTCAGCCGTGTATTTTGGAAGGCTCGGTGCATTGACTTGTAGATTTGTATAGGAGACGGGCTCCATCCGGAGGTGTCTGAGAAGCCAGTGTTCCTGAGTGGGGCAGGGCACAGGGCAGGGCCGACTCTGGTTCCATGCCCGGCACGACATCTGTCTTCCGGGCACCTCCGGGAGGGTCCTCCCAGAGCACCGAGCTAGGAGTAGTCCCCGAGGACCCCCGGCGGTGGTCCAGACCCCTTCATTCCCTCCGCCCGCCAAGTTCCTTTTGTTCATTAAAGGGAACCCACTTGGAGTGGCTGAGTCGGACCGAGCACATGCGACAGTGAGGAGCGCCCACCCTGGGGCGAGGCGGACCCCGGTGAGTGGGCGTGGGACAGCGCAGGCTCTGGGCAAAGGAGGGTGCAGAGAAGCTGGCGGGAAGGGAGTGGGGGCTGGTGGTGACAGGCTGGACAGCAGCAGCCACTGAAGCGAGAGGGGGCGGTTGGTCACTCTTGTGATTTGCAGAGTGGCCCGCGGGTGCTGCTGTCCCTGTGCTGTGTGCTTGCAGCCTGGCCCGGCCCCGAGGCTCCTCTGCGAGCTCTGAGCGGCCTTTCACGGAGAAGCTTGGTTCCCCCGGAGCAGGAAAGAAGGAGAAAAGCCACAGCTGAAGGGAAAAGCCAATTGCTCTGGAGATAAAGAGGGAACCAGATTCAAATGAGTTATTGATGGTCTTTGCAGTGATTTTTTTTTGTTGTTGTTGTTTTGTTGCTGTTTTGTTGCTGGCTTCCGGCTCGGCCCACACACTAGCAAAGCGGGTGTCCTGGCCTTGGCTCATCCCCTTTCCCCATGGACTATCTTTGTGGATCTTCATACCGTCCATGCACTTTCTCGTCTCCCTGGGATCTCTTCATGGCGAGCCCTGGTGGGTGGGCACCGTGGGGTCAGTCGTTGGAGGGTGGAGGCCTCTGGTGTCCGCGCGCTCCCTGGCGTGGCTCACGTGTGTGTGGATGGTGCAGAATGAAGGGGCTGGTTCCTGGCATCCGGGGGTGCATTTGGTACAGACCAGAGCAGACATCTGTGTGGGGTTGGGGGTGTAACCCAGACCTGGTCTGTGGGAGTCTGGAGCGGGGGCCCCACCGGCTACATGCAGCGCTGGAGGCGCTTAACCCCCAGCCTCGAGCCTGGTCGGAGCCACAGTACAGGCCCAAGCTCGAACCCTGAACCCTGAGCCGGGGCACCTGTCCCCCAGGCCTAGCTTTCAGTTTATAAGCTTATAATTCATAGGTGAATATTCAAATACTGAATTAGCCAGAGGGTGGCTGCCCACCCAGGGCCGCTGCCTCAACACCCCTCCCCCCACCATCCCCCACCTCTCACTGTCTCTCAGGCCTCTATGGAGGTTTCTGATGCCTGATACTAAGCGACCTTTACGACCTTTACATTTGAAGTTCAGTTACAAAAAAAAAAGTTGGGAGATTTGCCATGATGCAAGTTTTGATACATTATATTTGTATTTTTAAATTTTCAAAGTTCTTTTTTTAATGTCCGAGGCACGTGAGACCTTGGAAGGATCACCTGTGTCCAGACACGCACGTGTGTGTGTGTGTGTATGTGTGTGTGTGTGTGTGTGTGTGATTAGCTCAGTACAGAACTGAGAAATACAGAGAAATTGTCGAAGTAATTGATAAATTAACACTTGCAAGAAAGTGATGTTCTGGACATTGAGGTTGAATCGCGTTCAATTTTATATTTAGAGCCAAGATGATAGACTGAGAGGCCTTGTGACCTCTAGAGGTTCTTTTCTGTGAAGCGACACTTTAAAATTGGTGTTTTGGGGCTGGAGTGATAGCACCGTGGGTAGGGCGTTTGCCTTGCACGCAGCTGACCTGGGTTCGATTCCCAGCATCCCTTATGGTCCCCTGAACACCAGCAGGAGTGATTCCTGAGTGCAGAGCCAGGAGGAACCCCTGAGCATCACCTGGTGTGACCCAGAAAGCAGAAGAAAAAAAAAAGGTTTTGTTGAGTTCATGTTGCCCGGTTTCATCGGCTAAGGCTAGCTAACCCTTTCCTCCCTCTCCTCTTCCCGCCCTTCCGTTTCGGACAGCTCTTCACGGACGGGATCACCAACAAGCTCATCGGCTGTTATGTGGGCAGCGCCATGGAGGACGTGGTCCTGGTGCGCATCTACGGCAACAAGACGGAGCTGCTGGTGGACCGCGACGAGGAGGTGAAGAGCTTCCGCGTGCTGCAGGCCCACGGCTGCGCGCCGCAGCTCTACTGCACCTTCAACAACGGGCTCTGCTACGAGTTCATCCAGGGCGAGGCCCTGGACCCCCGGCACGTCTGCAACCCCGACATCTTCAGGTCAGTGCTTCTCTCCCGGGGCTGGCTGTGGGCTTGGCTGGAGGAACATTCCGTGGACCGGGGGAGCGTGGCCCCAAAACCTTTGGGTCTGTGAGTTCCATTGTTGCCTCTGTCCGGAAGAAGCGGGCTGCAGAACCCGGAGCAGGGCTTTCCCGTCCCCCACCGTCAAAGCAGGATGCGTTTCTCGCCTTGGTACGGGTCACACTGTCAGGTTCTCGCTGACTAGGATTATATTCGATTGTCGTTCTGCAGTGCTCTAGATTCGTCCTGGTTTAGTTCGGTGTATGGACTGCCTGTTGGTGGGCCGGGGGCCAGCCACACCTGGCTGTGCTCAGGGCTTACTCCGGGGCAGCCCCGGGGAACTGTGTTGTGCTGGGACTGAACCTGCACTCAGGTCAACCTCTGCCGGTTTCCCTGTCCCTCTGGCCGCAATCGTGTCTCGTATTTTTATGCACGGTAATTTGACTAAAATTGCCCTCTGTTAATATTCTCTTTTTGTTCCTAAAAACTCTTGTAAGCGAGCTTGATTTGAAAACATCAAGGCTATGCATAAGCCAGAAGTCCTCAGACATTTTGATTCACGAACGCTTTATACTTGTTTAAAGATTATTGAAGGCTGGAGAGCTCTCAGAGGACCAGGTCCGTGCATTGCCTGGGGATGGCCTCCCTCTGTGCTAACACAGGGTCCCCCAGCAGTGCTGGAACCTGGAAACAAAACAGAAAGATGGTTCAGGACCAACAGAACTTGTATTCATATGCAAGATATTTGTTAGTATTGACCATGTTTGGAAGTAAAGCGTGTGCTTAAAATGCAAGAGCCAGTGCCCGTTCTCTTGGGTGGTTACGGTGATGGCACCCTCATGCCACCTCAGGGCTCTCGGTGGCCTCTGTGTGCATTGGGAGGGGACAAGTCAAGGAAGGGACACGGCGTCTTAGGGAATGGTCACACCATTCCTGTCAGCCTCTGGGGTCTTCACCGGTTCTGGATCGTAGAGAATCTCAAATCGACACACCGATAAATTGGAATGCGTTAGCAGTTATCTGTTTGAAACCGGTTCCAAGTAATCCACAGAGAGATCTGCTCCTCTCGTGGCTGTTGGCTGTCAGATGCAGCCTCTACCTTTACACAGGTGTACTCATTAAATTGTTGAAGCATCCTGATAAATAGAGTTAGATATGCTCTCTAGTGTCAAAAATTTTTTGGGGGGGTCTTCAGACCTATGTGTGTCATGTGTGTTTATGTACTTAAACAGTGAAAAAATTATAAGTCTCCTTTATCATGTTTGAGAAAAACCAATATTACAGGCTTGAAATACGTAGATGCGTAATGTAGCCAAAGGAAGAACTGGAGTTAGAGCCAGAGAAAAGATGTATTTGCGAAGGTAATGGCGAAGGCCCGTGCCAACTTCCTGGCAACTGGAGCCGGGAAGGGAGGACTAGCTCCAGATGTCAGTGTCCAAAGGGCTCACGGAAAAATATCGCTGATGGCTAATGCCAGTTTCCCTGCTCTGGCCATCCTAAGTTGCTTTGTAAGACCTACACTTTCATAAAATTTGCACTCAGAGTCATAAACAGTCTTTTACCAATTTAAACTTTCACTTGAACTCCAGGGGCAGTGATATATAACGTTGATATAGGCAGGCATCGGCACATTTTATTGAAAAATGGAATATTGTTAGAAACCAGTTATTAGGACTTCGAATTCATTTTCATTCTTCGACGTTGACTTGTAACGAACTGATCCGTTGACTCGAACTTTGGCTCAAAGAAGCAGTGGAGGTGGAGAAGCAGCCAGCGACGGTGACAGTACGACCCAGCGAAGAGGAAACAGCGGGAGGGTTCGCTCGGAATGTTTGCTCTTGCCCGCGGACTTATTGCAGTTACAGTGTGATTACCTTAGGGTGTCTGTCAGTGCTTGGTGGTTTTGTTAATACCAAACTACGGAAAGCTAATTGGGGAAAAGAAGATTTTGAATTAATAGCTGAATTAGAAATGATTTTATAGATTGTTATTTTTTAGTTTCCAGATAATCGCTGTAGCACTATAGCACTGTCCTCCCGTCGTTCATCGATTTGCTCGAGCGGGCCCAGTAACGTCTCCATTGGAGACTTTGTTGTTACTGTGTCTGGCATATCGAGTACGTCACGGGCAGCTTGCCAGGCTTTGCCGTGCGGGCGAGGAATCGAACTTGGGGCGGCCATGTTGGCTGCGTGCAAGGCAAACGCCCTACCGCTGTGCTATCGCTCATGGTAAAATACTTTTAAAAAATTTATCAGTCAAGCAACTGACTAGATGATGATTCTGGAGTCCTTGAGAATAGGAATGCAAATTTGGCACAGTGTGCTTTTTTCCTTGGAAAAATGAGTTTCAGGGCAGGGGAGAGAGTACCGGAAGGAAGACACTGGCCTGCATGCAGCTGCAGTGGCCGTGATCCGAAGCACCTACGGTCCCCTGGGGACCACCCGGGGGGGGGGGTCACTCCCGAGCACAGAGCCCCATGCCCCTCCCCCAGCACTGGCAGGTGTGCCCCCTCCCATCCCACAGCACAGTTTCCTGTGTTTATGGCGAAAAGGGATCTTTGACTGGTAAATGCTGACAGTTTTGAATTAGCTAGGTATTACATTTTGAGTCATTGTTATTAAATCAGGCTAGCAACAATCTGGCCTGATTGCATTATGGCCTCCCTGAATGTTGATCAGATTTCTTGTGTTGGCTCAGTCAGAGATGGCTGTTCATCTGCACTTCATGGTGGATGAAAGTATCTGCGGTGACTGTGAAAGGGAACTAAACTCTGTTACGTGTTTGCTCAAGTCTAGGAAAAATAGATAGTCCCTGGTCTGAGTTTCACTATGTGAGGGGCAATACTTCTGGAAAAAATAAGCTATGTGATACATACAGAAGATCAGAAAAAGTCTTCAAAAAAAGAATACATAGTTGATGGCAGTCAACTTGATACCTGAGGTGGTGTTTCCCCTCAGTCACAACAGTGTGTAGGTCAGGCGCTTGCCCTGAGCAAGACTGGCCTGGATTGGATCCCCAGCCCACGTATGGTACCCCGAGCTTTGCCAGGAGAGATCCCTGAGCCAGCGCCAGGAATAAACTGTAGGTGTGGCCCCAAGGGGCTGGAGTGATAGCACAACGGGTAGGGCAGGGTGTTTGCCTTGCCCGAGGCCAACCCGGGTTTGATTCCTCCGCCCCTCTCGGAGAGCCTGGCAGGCTACCGAGAGTATCCCGCCCGCACGGCAGAGCCTGGCAAGCGCCTCGCGGCGTATTGGATATGCCAAAGACAGTAACAACAAGTCTCAGCTTGAGCAAATCAATGAACAAAGAAGGACAGTGCTACAGTGGCCCCAAGACAAACAAGGGAGATTACACCAAATTAATCCCTAATTCACCTCAGGGAAGTGTATGGTGATCTGTTTTATTTGCAGAACTTTTCTTGGTCAACTCTTGCAGAGACCTTTAAAGAAGTTTAGTAACATTGTGGCCCTGCAGCGGGTGGGGGGTGGGGTCACAGCTGTGTGCTGGAGGCCCCGGCTCAGTTTGTGAGTTGTGGCACCCTGGCCTCTCGGTTTCAGGAGTCCCGCCGGGCGTGGCCCTGACACAGGACAGAGCAAACCCGATCCAGAACGCCCCAGATTGGAAACTGAAAAAACTCAGAGATGTTTAGGGGATTTTTTTAAAATCAGGGTTTTTTTTCTAAGCTTGTTCCTTTTGGGGAACGGAATCCTCAAGTCTAACTAAAAATGACCAGAAAAAGAAAGGGAGAAATGCAGTTTCCAGTGAATTGTCAGGGGCTGGAGCGATAGTACAGCAGGTAGGACGTTTGTCCCACCCGCCGCCGCTGCCAGCCTGGCCTTGACCCCTGCCCGCCCCCCCCCCCCCCCCCCCCAGATCCCCAGCACTGCTCGGAGTGAGCCCTGAGCACTGCTGGGCGTGCCTCCCCTAGTACCATGAAAGCAAGACAAAAAAGGAAAACATAACTGGAAACTCATGACTTCTTTATAGTGGCACTAAGTTGCAAGTAAAATCAGTAATGTCCTCTTTTGGAATTAATAGGGACACTTACAGTAACTCATACGGTAAAGCTTCATTCTGTGTTTCTGTGATGACAACTCTTCCCTTCAAATATAGCTAAGGTACATCAGCTCGGGGTAACTCTTACGTGACTCTTGAAAGGGTAATTTTGAATATTGTCTAAAACATGCAAAAGGGCTAATACAAGGCTAAGGGAAAAATCAGTTTCGGAGTGCACCTGTCGCTTTAGTACCTGAAAATGAAGTAAGTGCGTGGGATGGTTGATTTAGAAATGATTTTCCAATTTAAAGATTTCCTGTAATAGTGCTCTTAGGTTTTTAGAAGCCTGCAAGAGGAGCAGTTAGTATTAGAATATTTGCGAAAAAGGTCTCTGAAGCTATCGAATTTTCAAACACGGCTTTCCTGGGAATAGAATAGGACTTTAAAGTTCGCGTTCCTCATTTTTTTGCAGTCAAACCTGATTGACAGTTGGGAGTGTCACTAGTTATTTCTCTAGAACAGTCTTCTGAGAGCGAAATTCCTGATTCCACTTCAGTCTTCTCAGAGTGAAAACCTTTAGTTCTGATGGTAGAAATCAGAGATCTTTGATTTTTTTTTTATTTGTCTGTGTTAGGTCCTCTGATTTACAATACTGTTAATGATGGTTTCATGATTACACGCACCCCTCGCCAGAGTGCCTTCCTCCTCCTGCCAAGCCCAAAGGCCGTGCCTGCCAATACCCTCACCCCCAGACTCGGTTCTAGGAACTAGCTCTCCAGTGCCATTGCCGTAGGCCGCCTTTGGCCGCCTTCCTGTGTCAGTTCCGAGAGAGAATTCTGTATCTTCCCCTCACCTTTCCTGCCTTGATTGGCACAGTACCCTCCACTCCCTCCATATGACAGAGCAAAGTACATGGTTTTGCCCTTTATTTTTTTAGCTGCTTAGTATTCCGTTGTACATATATGCTACAACTTCTTAGTAAT